CCATGGTCACCTTGGCATATAGTGCAGATTGCTTTTAAATTTGTTTGTTGATCCAAAGCTGTTTGGTTTTTAGTTCTATTTGCAGTTGTATTATCCAACACTAGTTGTATTGGCATTGGTTTCATAGTTTGGTTATGGTAATCCATTGTTGATTGGACTTCTAATGTTGGTGGTTCATATATTATATTGTTGTTTTAGTTCTTGTTTGATATAATATAGTTCTTGACAATTGGTTATCTAAGTAATTTGGTTAATTATTCCTCAATAAGTTGTATTTAGTCCTTCTTCGAGATTTAGATCTAAAGCATGTCATTTGAATTTTCAAGTATTATGGTTTTTTCTTCTTGATCTATGAAGCAATTTCTTCTTTCAATTCTGGTTAAATTTATTACTTCAACTCTTGTTCTATAATTTAATTATATTAAAATTAATTGTTTATTGTTATAAGTTTCTCTTGCTAAGAATTGTTGTATTTCAATTTGTATTTCTTTAAGCCACTGTCTTGTATTTGTTACTTTTTGGTTTTCTTCTTGTAAGGCTATTTAGTGGTATCATTTCTAGAGTTCACTTTTTAGAGTTCTTTTATATTTTTAGGGTTGTTTTGATTTTAAAAATTATTTTGATTCTTCTATTTCCTTTTCGGGTTTATTTTTGGTCTTGCTTTTAAATTCTGAATCATTTGCTTCGATTAATAATTCTTGTGCAATGTATTCAAGTAGTGCTTGCTACAATTTGTTTTGTTTTGTCTATGCCAAATATATTCTGATAAGCATAGTTCAATGCTATCAATGTTATGATTTCTTGCTAGTATTAGTAATTTGATTCTATTCTAATAAGCTTCAATAGTGTTTGTTTGAGCTCCAGTCTCAGGATCTATGAAGTTTTGTGAATAGTTTACAGTTTTGTGTTGGTGTTCAAGTTTAATCTTAATGTTCTGATAAGACTTGAAACAATCTGAGTAAATAATTGATTCTTCTTCAATGTTATCTTGTATTACTTTTAGTAATGTTTTTTCTTTTCTATCTGGTACAACTGTTACAAATATTCATTTTTCAGTTGTCCTTTTTACTGTGCCAAATACCCAAACTCCTTCTTGGTATCTTCTATGGTGGTATTTGACTCTTTCAAATTTGGACTCATCACATTCTACAATGATATCTGGCCCACCTATCTTTTGTTTTGTTTCTTCCAGGTTTGACTAGATTAGATTTCTAATACTGTTTATATAATGGTTAATTGTTTGTGTTGATCATTCTGTAACTGTCACAATTGACATCACGGGCATTCTATTTATCCAAAAATAGTAAATTATGAGTACAAGATTGATTGGTAATTTATTTTCTTCAAACCATGAATTAGTCATCAAAAATTGCGCCTTTTTGCAATTCTGATTATTGCATTTAAATATTTTTTTATTCATGTAGAGTTATCGGTCACATTGTGGGCAATTTAGACTTTTATAGTTACAGGCATTATCTTGTAAATATTCAATGCATTTATTATCATTACTTAAGATGTTCCAATATTCCAAAATTATGGAAATTTTGTAAGTTTCTTGATTATCCATCTAATCATCATTCAAAGGTAATCTTTCAAGATAAAGAATATCTTCTACTAATTGTGTTGGTATTACTTTTGTATCATAGTACCAGGGCTCTATCTCTAGTAATAAGCCTATTTTAGTAATTTCGTGTAAGAAGTAATTTGAATTGTATGTTGATAGAGTAAAGTATATTTTTACAATGCTGTTCATTATATATTGAAGTGTTTTTTGTCAATTTTTCTCCAACTTTTGCTTCTTTTTATACTTTCCAATATTTATCCTTAATATTCTTTTAAATGCTTTACTAATTACTGAATTTATTTTTCAGCAAATTATTCTATCTATATTATTTGGTTTAGTATATCATTTATACTTTTTAGAAGTTTATATAATACTCTTTTGTTGTGTATTTATTAACCAATTTGTAATCTATTATGTCTTTATCCAGCATTAGAATTGATTTGTCATCTAATGATAATAATTATCAATATTATAATCAATAGTTAGATTTTTATCAATTTCTTTTGGAAGCAACAGAGACTCGCTATGAAGTACTTGAATCTTTTGTACTGTTTTTTTGAAGTAACAGGCAAGTTAAGGAAATTTGTTTATTATATAATGAATTTCTCTCAACTCATTATCTAGTGGTTCCAGAGAATTTACTATTTTTGTTCAGATACTTTGATGGCTCTTCACACGGATTCATCAATAACAATAATTTTTGCTGCGATTTTTACAATAAGTCTTCGGCTCTTCCAAATGATGATTTTAGTAAATTAGATTTTCAAATAGAATCCACTAAAGGTTAGGATTAGTCTTATTGGATTATCACGCACTGCTGTACCAGAGTAGTTAGTAGACTAACTGTATCCAACTCACAGCTCTGGTCAGTGGTGCATGTTGGTCGAATTTTACTAATTCCTTTTTAGCTTTCTTTCTAGATCTTGAAACTAATTTGGTTGAATTTGAATATTTTGATTCTGTCTTTGGAGTTTGATTCTTGTAAATATTTGGAAGATAGTTTTGATCAGTTTGCAGTTTATTCATATTATCATTGTAGTTTTTCTCCTAGTTGTTGTTGCTATAGCGATAGTTCTTTATCATCTTGTAGTTTTTGTAGTGACTCTGTTTGTACCGATATTGATAGTGATTGGTAATTGTAGTAATGATTAGGGTAATCATTTTTGTTTCTTCTTGATTTCTTGTTTTCATTTTTCTTTAATTATTTTAGCTGGATTGTTTAAAGAGTCATTTTCTTTATTCACTTTCTCAATTCTTGTTAATTGTTTTTGAAACTTAGCTTTCTCTTCCTTTTTTACTTCTTTTAATATTTCTTTTCCTTTTTTTAATTGCTGTAATTCATTGGTTGTTCCTCGTGATAAGTAGTCTGCAGCATGGTTTTCTGCGCCTACTATCCTATGTATTATATAGTTATACTCTTGCAGTTGTAAAATCTAATTCATCATTGTACGATTTGTATAGCTTTTCATTGATTTTGTTGATGATATTCCTGTCAAGTCAGTATAAATGTGTATTTGTTGTGTTCCAATATAGTGTCTTCATTTTTCCAGAAATACATATATTGCATATAGTTCTCTTTGTATGCTAGGCCAACAGCATTGTAATTCATTTAATCCTACTGAGCCTATTTTTATTATGCATTTTTCTGATTTGATTAGTTTAGAATAGTCTTTAAGTTCTTCTTTAAGCATCTCTTGTTTAGATACTTTTTTATAATGCTGTCATTCGAAATCTTCTTAGTATAAGATTGCGGCTATAGCTTCTTGTGAAGCATCACATTCTATGAAAAATAGTTGTTTTGGAACTGAAAATGATAAAGCAAATTCTCTTTTTATTTTTTTCTTAAATCACTCAAATGCTTTTGTATATTCATCATCCTATTGGAACTCTTTGTTTCCTGTTAGTTTATAAAGTATATCTGCTATTTTTCCAAAGTTGTAAATGTATAGTCTGAAGTAGTTTATGAATCCTAAGAATTGTTGTACTTCTTTTTTAGAAGTTGGAGTCTTGAATTTGTCTACTTCCTTGCTTTTTAAAGCATTTTTCCATATCTTGCTATATTCTACTTCATAATTGAGTATTGTTGTTTTGCTGACACAGAATTTGCATTTAGAGAGTTTAAGTTTCAGGCTCCCTTTTTCGAACTCTATTAACATTCTCATTAATCTATCTCTTATTTCTTTAATAGAGTTTGCAACAATAGTCAAATCATCTATATATAGTAGAATCCAATCAAATTTTGATAGTAATTTATTTATTGCTGCTATTAAGTATGCAGATGCAGTACTAATTCCAAAGGATAAATTATTCCACTTGTAAGTTCTATATTTTCCAAATATACTAGCAGTATATTTTTTGCTATTCTCATGTATAAGAAGTTGCCAATATGCAGATTTTAAATCCATTGTTGTATATATTTTATACACAGCTATTTTTTGCAGCATTTGATAGATATCTAGTAGAGGGTGCTTAAATTGCCTTAAATGCTTATTTAAGCCTCTATAGTCTATGGCTATTTTTTTTGTGCCATCTTTTTTGGTTATAACTAAAATATTTGCACCTATTCAGATTGCGTTAGGTATACAATTTTGTTTTTTACTAAGTCATTTAATAGGTTTATTATAACTTTCAGTTCTTCTTCAGAGTATTTTCTAATCTGTTGTCATTTGTCTCTTTCGGGTATTTCAGTTTCAGGAGTTTTTAATTTTAATTTTATTTTCAGGATTACTTCGGGTTTCACACTAGTCTCTAGTTCAGATTTTTCTCTAAAGCAGTCGATATATTTTTCTAATATATCACATATATATCTGGTCTACAGTTTTTTTTGAGATTTTAATTCTTTCTTTAATAGCTTCTCTTTTATTTGTCCAATTTATTTTTTTCTTTTTCAGAATCTTAATTTTATTGAGAAAAAATTTTGGTGACTTTTCTAGTATTTCAACATTTTCAATATATTGATCTTTACTTATTTGGACTTCATATTCTGAGTAGTTTGCTATTAATATATAGTCTCCATTTGCTATTTCTGGTTAAATAGCTATTTTTTTTTTAGCTAAATATTCTTGGGTTCCTATATATTCATTTTTTATAGATTTTCTTATTTTTACTGATAATATTGTATGTTTTGGTAATACAATATTCTGTGCACTATGTATTTGGTTATCCCTTTTTATATCTAATAATATAATAGGTATTATTTTCTTTTTTTAATAGGGTGTATATAGTTTAATCTTATATAAAGATTATTATTTTTTATATGTTCTTGTATTTCTTCATCTATTTCTTCTAGAAATTCTTGTTGTTCTTTAGTTAAGCTCTCATTATCACTTTCATCTCATGGTATACTTATTCCTGTATTTACTGAAGCTTGTAGTTAATTTTCAGTATAGGTTTCAAGTGATTGATTCTATGCTGGTAATAAGTACATTGTATAAGGTCATTCTTTAAATGTAGATTGTATTTGTTGAGGTTCTGAGTTATCTTGATTGAATGCTCTTTCAATATTTTGAGATATTTCTTGTTCTTTATCTTCAGTATTTGTTACTGATAGTGTATACATTTTTTGATTTTTATGCCATGATGCTGGTGATAAAGTATTACTTCTATCTATAGATCTTTTTAGATTTCTATTTGGTTGCCGAATTTGTTGATTTGTTTGAATTGGTATTGGCGTTGGTAATACTACAGTATATCAGGAGTATTTGTAAGGTCTACAGAGTTTCTTAAGCCTGATGGTTGTTTAGGGCTATGAATATGTTGTTTTAAGGATCCTGATCCTCCAAACAATTGTTTCCATCCTCCTATAGGAGATAAAGGTCTTAATTTTTTAGTTATTGATGGTATCCATTATTTTCTTTTAGAAATATCACTATCAATTGTTTGATTAGTTGATGATTTATCAGAATTTGTTGGTGATTTTGGTAGTGATCTTGGAGATCCAGAATATTGATATTCTTCTCTGTATCCTGTTTTAGGTAATTCTAATCTTGAAGGTAGTGGTTTAGTTCGTATTTGTGATTGATTTTTTGATAATTGTGTTTTAATATTTTCATCAATTATCATTCATCCTTTTGTTTCTAATTGTGTCGCAAGCAAATCTCTGTATTTGTCTTGTATAGTTCTTCTAGCTTCTTCATTTTGTGCATTATTTGCTCCTAATAATAATTCATTTAATACTTCTCTTTGGTCCCATTCTGGTATTGCTTTGAATTGATCACTTGTAATAGTGATTGCTGGATTTGTATCTCTTTCATATTCTTCGAGCATATCATTAATGGCTCCTCTTAATACAAATATAGATACATTATTTTTATTTGATTTTTCATTTAGAAAATCAAATATGTATTCTCTTCGTGATTCATGAGCTTTTCTATATATTACTTCTGTTATTTTTTCTTTTATTTTTAATATTTCTTCTAATTAATCATCATCTAGTGCTGAAGTATAGTTATAACGATATTGAATTTGATACAATTTTGTTCTTAATTGCTTAAATTTTTCTTCTATTTTCAGATCTTTAATATCATCCCTACTTTTTAGTATTTGTTTCTAGTTTGTTAGCTTTTGGCTTATTATAGTTCTTGGTCATATTGTTGGAGATCTGCTTGGTGATCTACTTGGTATTTTTACTTGTTTTCTTTTTCTATTACTTGATTCCGCTTGCGGGAATACTTCTTCTTCAAACTGATTTATAAATTGAATTGTTTTTTCAGGTATTTTGTTGTTAAGCTGTTTTTGATCTTGTCCTTGTGATTCTTTATTTGCTAGTCCTATTATCATTCTTGCAAGTTGTTCTGCTAAATCTACTATTTCAGATTCTTTATAGGTTATTCCAAATCCTATATCTGTTCCCAAAGTAGGCATTATATTTTCTGAATTTTCTTGTTGGTCAATTGCATTAGACCATTGTTCTATTCTTCGATCTACTTCCAATAGATCATTTGCATATTCTCTGAGTTTTTGTACTTCTTGTACTTGTGCCAATTGATCTTGTTGTTCTATACTTGGTGTTTCTAATATCATTGCACAGACCTCTTTGTGCTGGGCTATCATTTGATAGACTTCTTGTAATATGGTGCTGGTTGGATCCATTAAGTGTACATGCTTGTTTATTCCTTTTTCAAATGTACATTCTGGTGAACTGTTGTTAATATGTATTAACATTATTTCTTGTCCGTACATATATAGTATATTTCTAAATTCATGTACTATTTTCCACATCCTGCAGCATAGAAATACTGAGTATCAAAGCAAATTCCTATTTGCTTTCTTTCTTTTTTCTTGTCCTTAAATCTTAACTCTTGTTTTATACTATCCAATATATCCATAAGGTTAGCAACTGTTGCACCAAAACAGTTGTTAGATGCACTGTTTTTCAATAAAATTCCTATCTTCATTGGTTGTATCTTTTCTAATATATAATTGACATTATTGATCACATTTGATCATTGTTATTTATCTTTTGTCTCTAAGTATAGGACTGCCCATCTTATATTTATTTCTTCTGCACATGCATATTCTTCTATGATTCTTTTTATTTTCTAGTTTACTTTATTTTCTCTATACAGTTGATCATTAATGTATAGTCCAAGTATCATATGTAGTACCATTTTTAATTCTATATTTCTATTTCCTTTTATTATTTTTCTGTCTGCTTTTTCATTATGCATTGTCATTTTCAATACTTCAAATTTTGGAGTATCTTCTGATTCTTGATATTTTAAGAATATCTAAAGGATATTTGATTGCATTAAATAGATACTATTTTTGTTTATATTTCATCTGTTGTTACTCCTATAAGTTTTTTTCATTGCTTATTTAAAGAAACTTGTCATTTTAATTCTTTAATTTGCTCTTTAAAAGTTTGAGATAATATATTTTTAATAAACTTTTAGTTCTCTTTGGGTTTGTATTTTTTAATTACCCAATTGATTTGGTTAGTATTAGAGTTTCCTATTGATAGTTTTCTGATATTCTTTTTAGGTTTTTATTGTGAATACTTTTTAATAGCATGTAAATATTCTTTTAATATTTTCTTGCTAATTTTAGTATCTTTGAAGGCTTTCTTTTTGTTTTCCTTAGTTGATTCATTAGATTTTTTGTCCAATCTGAGCTCAAATTTGTTTTGTTTACCATGTTGGGTGCTATTACAGGGTTTTTTCTTGCTTTTGAGGGGTGTATCTCTAGCTTTTTGAGCGAGGTGACTAGGTGTGACAATTGTGGGTATACCTGTATTAATATCACATGATACTGGGGTAGACTCTTCTTTTTTCAAGGTGCAAGAGAGGTTTCTTGGAATAGAGTTAGGATTTAATCCTGATAACCCTTATGATTGGTTCAGGGAAATATCTTGATATAATATTGGTTTCCCATTTATTCAAGCTATTTTATTATTTCTATCTTTTGAGATGTTTAGTCTATCTTGATCTACTTCTGATAAGAGTATATAAGCTTGGTCTTCTTCAAGAATTGATATTTTAAGAGTTGCTTTAATATCTTCTACTTAGAATATTGCTTTTACTTGTCCAAGGTTTTCTATTGTTTGTCCTCCTAGTAGAATAGCAGTTAATTTCTTTGTGATGTTTATTTTTTCTAGTAATCCTAATTCTTTTGCCATGTCTGATCCTATGACATTTGCACTTGCTTCTTTGTCTAGTAATACTAGTATTGGTTTGTTATTTAATAGTGCTATAAATTGGTATTGCTTCTTTCCTTTTGTTGCTATTTAGCTTCTTTTGAAAATTTGTAGGTTTTAAGAAAATAGTTGTATTCATTTGTTCGAATACTTTCTTTATTATCATTTCTTTATTTGTAGATTTGGCAAAGAACTTTTAATACTTTTGATAAATAATAGAATCTTTATTAAGTATTTTAGAGTTAATATATTTGATATTATTAATACTTTGTATTTGGGTAATACTAATAGTATTTATGTTCTCTCTAGTATAGCTTTTAGAAAGTTTTTTTGGGGTTTTTTCTCGAACACTAGGCGAGTCTCCTATTCAAAAGAATTAACTTTCTTCTGAATAGTTTTATGAAGATTATTTGCAGTTATAACTTCTTCATTATCAGATTCTTCTTCAGTTTCTTCATTAAATTCTGAATAGTATTCTTCTTCACTTTCTTCTTTATTTCCTTTATAATGTTAGAATTTCTTTTTGGTGAATTTTCCTTTATATAGTTTTCCTTTTCCTTTATTGTAAGGTTTCTTTGAGAAATTTCCTTTCTTGAATCTTCCTATTTCCATTGGTACTGTTCTTCTTCCTACTTTTTTCCCATTCATGTGTGTTGTATTATTTCGAGTACATCCTGAGTGATGTTTTGGGTATAGTTTTTCACATTGTGAGCAAAATCTTTTCTTTTTAAGTTTCTAATTATTTATGTTGTTAAAAGAGTCTTTTTTAGTATTTGAGTAGCAATTCCTAGCAAAATGTCCTGGTTTTTCACATTTAAAGCAGTTTCTTTTAGGTTTGTTATTTTGTAAAGTATCAATATTTTTTATTGAGACTTTCTTTTGAGGTCATTCTTTTTTAGTAAATTTTGTATTATTTACATTAGTTATTTTGATGTTAGCTAGTTTTCAATGTTAATTTTCCCACTTTGTAACATTATGTATTTTTCTGCTTGGAATGCTCTTTTTTCTGCATCCCAAAATTCTTGTAGAGTTGTTGGGTTAGCATGATGAATTGCTTTTTGTATTTCTATAGGCATTCTTGTTTTGAGGTGATTATATTCTTCTGCTTTGAAATTGTCATTGAATAGGTATCTAGAGATTTGCATTAATTTTTTATAAGTGCTTCTCCATGCAAAGAATGCTGATTTATCTTCCCAATTTGGTTTTACAAAGGTATGCTTTAGGAATTTCTCCTGCTATGCTTGTTGGACATCATTTTTGATTAATGCTTTATCAAGGATTTCTCTTCAACCTTTTTAATTATGAGCTGCTGCTACTATTTTGCAAGCTATTAATGCTGCTGCAGCATTATGTTGTGCTCTATTATATTCATGGTTGCTTGCAAGAGGATATCTACTATGATCTGGTAAAGTATTTTTAATATCATCTTGATTGTTAATATTTGATCTAAACTAGCTTAAAGCTTCATCTTTATTTTCTTCATAAATATCTAATGCTATATCAGATAATTTGATAGATACTTTTGCCATTATTGCTCTCTATAATAAAGTATTGCAAAATACTTTTAGATCATTTGTATTTGCTATTCGATAGTTGGCATTTTGTCTTGTATATTCTTTATCAGGATTTCCTGAGAATACTCTGAATTCAAATAATATTTTTGGTATATATGAAGAAATTATAGTTTCTGTTTGTTTTTTCTATTTGATATATTTTTTAGAGTCTCCGCTAAAAGATTGTATTGCATTTTCTAGTCCTTGAATATTTGATATCTTAAGTTTTGTTGCTATTTTTAACTAAAATATTCTCTGTAACTTATTAGTTTAAATTGATATTTGCACTGTGCTGTTTTTAACCACTTTCTAATATTATCTTTAGTTGCTCTGGTTACTTGAAATAAGTCTTCTAGGATTTGTTTTTCTTCTAATAAGAATAAGTATAATAATAAAACTGCTATTTCTTTTTCTGTAATATCAATATAATAGTTTTCTTCTTCTTCATATATCCAGATTCTATTTTGGTTATCTGTTTGAGTTTTGATTCTTCTTCTTGTTGCTGGTCTTCCTAGATTATTTAGTTTGTAATATAACCTTGATATGACTTCTTTAATTTTTGCTTTTTCTGTGTTTTGTAAACATTTTGAATATTTTTGAAAGAATTGATTGAAAACTTCTTGGAAAGTTATTTTTGTTTCGGAGTTTATTTACTGATAAAGAACTCTGGTTTTAGGTCTGTTTCTTCAGAAAGTTTCTTTATAAACTCTTCTAGTTCTTTGTATTGTATTGCTAGTTGCAATAGTTTTGAATATGATCTTGGTACTAATTTTCTGTTAATATAGGCTTCTTTATATCTGTGAAATATATATTTTTCTGCAATTTTTTTTACAAGTTGGTTTTTTATTATAACTTTTGGTCTTGGTCTGATGACAGGTAGTTGTTTAGAAATTTTTTTTTCTTTGATAACAGTTATTTCTTTGTATACTTCTTTAGAAGTAATAATACTATTCCTTTATAGTTTGATTTAATAATAAATTAGCGTTTATTGTGGCAATAATCTATGGTTTTCTCAGTCATTAAGTTTTCTTGGTCTAGTTGTTATGTTAATTACTTTAATATATAATTCTAATAGGATTGATAGTGCTTAGCAAATTGCTGCTGCTAATATTGCTACTTCTATAACATGTGCTGCTGATAATACTATTCTGTCAAATGCTATTACTAAGATGCAAAGATTGTTCATCTATAGTGTGAAGTTTGCAAATATTTTAAATATTGGTAGTGTTGATTCACTTGTTGTTTCTTGTTGGTTATCTATAGTGTTTAACTTGTTATTACATTTCTAATTTATGCTGCTAATTCAGTATTTTCTTTTTGAACATCGTGTTCTAGATATTTTCTTTTAATACTTTTCCTCATTTAATTATTATAATTACTGTTATGGATATTAATACTATTGCAGTTACTATTATTCCAAGTAATTTTTGTACGTTTGGGTCAATTATAAATTGTGATGATTTAGTAATTGTTGTTGTACTTGTTGGTATTATTGTAGATACTAATGTTGAGAATAAGGTCGAGATTATAGTTGATGGTGTAATTGTTATTGGTATAACTATATTTCTCATTAATATCTTGTTCTAAATAGTTTATTAACTTTATTGGTATTTGGTTCTAGAACTTGTCGATTTAGTTGTTGCTTGGTTATGCCTTGGAATGGTTCTGTTCCTGGTAAAGGTATTTTATGTTGTTGATATCTTTTCTTCTTATGTTGAAGTATAATTATAAGTGTTACTACTCCTATCAAGATTATTGCAAAGGTAATTATTCCTCCTATAATTTCAAGTTCGGTTGTTATTTCCTGAGATGTGTTGTCAGTTGTTGATATTTAACTCTTTTTCTAATATGATTTATTAGTTGGTAAAGGTGGTGCAGATGGTATTACTTCTGGTCAGAATATCACGTTGGGTCAGAGTGATGTTCTTATTAGTTGAAATGTTGTATCAATTGGTCTTGGTTGTGGTACTATATTATTTAATTGAGATCTAAATCTAAAGAGTTGGTTAAGTCTTTATTGAACTTGTGTATTTCTTAAACTTTGTAATTGTGTTCTTGGTATTGGATTAGATTGGAGATTTCGAGGTTTCTTTGGTATTATTAGTACTCGAAAGTATACTTGTCTGTTAGAGTTTGGAATAGTTATTATCTTTTGATTTATTCAAGATTTGGGTGGTCTAGTGATTTGAATCAGTTGGCCTATAATCGGTTAATCAACCCGAACTGAACAAATTTTGGTTAATCGATTGAGGAAATTCTTAATCGGTTAACCTGGTATATCTGGTTGAGAATTGGGTAATTGGTTGGCAGGATCAATGTATTATGAAAGTGATACAAGGAGGGAGCAAAAGCTCTGAAAAGAAAATGAATGAACATAAAAGACGAGCAAGTTAAGACAAAAATTTGAGCAAATCTCTGAAGATAACTGAAAAGTAGAGATAATTAATCTCAACCGATTGGCAACCAGTTGAATAAAATAATTCGGTTTGGTTAACCGATTAAAAAAATTTTTCTTGGTTCAAATCACTAGGGTGGTCTAATATTTAGATTATTAAACATATAAGGTTAAATTTCTTTTTTAGCAATAGGTAGATTGTTGTAGGTATTGATCTGCTCCAGGTATGTTCTTGTTAACCTTCTTTTTATATCTTTGGTATTTACAACAACAATAGAATATTACTATAATTAGTAATGCTACAAAGGTTTCAATTATTAATCTATACAATAGTTGTGTAGCTAAAGAATTGTTTTTAAAGGTGTTGCAGCTTATTGTTGAATTAGTTTCAGTTATCAATTGTTGATATTGATTTGTAAGTTAAATGATTATTAATTATTAATATTGTTGTGGATAATATTATTGTTACTATGATTATTAATTCTATTGTAGTTATTAATAGAATTGTTATAATCATGCACATGTCAGTATATTATTCAGTGGTGTAGTCATAGTATAAATAATTATTAATATTCCTATTGTGCCTGTAATTATTAAGCTTATTATGGCAATTGTTATTTGTATAGTCATATTTACTTCAAGTAAAGTGATTGATAAGCTAATTGAGATTATTAATCCAATTGTTGAGATAATAATTATTTTCTTGTATTGTTTTATCAATTCAAATAGATTTGTTATTAAAGGTTTATCTGATTAAGTCAGTTTGATTATATTGTGGTAATCCTGTGTTTTGAAGCCTTGTGATCTGTTTCTTGTAGTTACAGAGTTTTTTTTTACACATAAGTATTATTCTAGTTATGGTAGTAATTGCAGTTAATATGGTGATTATTAATGCAACAAAGGTGTTTACAGCTTCTTTGTCTTGTAAGAAGTCTGGTTGATTTGTAATCAAAGATGTTTGGGTTACAATAGCACTTATTGTAGTGGCAGCTTGAGTGTTTGTTGGTAAAGTAACTATTATGTTTATTATGTCAGTTTTGGAGATTCTGGTTTGTAAGCAGATTATTAATGTAATAATTATTAAGCAAATTTTGCTTTGTAATAATTGGTTTCATATTTGTATTGTTGAATTACTAATTTTTGGTAGTTTCGATATAGTTGTCTTGTCAGATGATCAGTCTGCGAGTTTTAATGGTAAGGTTTTGTTTTAGCCTTTTCAGCCTTACTGGTCATTAATGTCAGATTAGGTTAATTATAATAGTTAATCTTCAGAATTAGAGTAAGCTTTCCTTTAATCATACTTGCTTAAGAGTTGTTTAAGCTCTATTTGTTTTGCAATATGTTTGCTTGGTAAGTTGTTTTAGATAGTTGTATAGTTTATTTCTTTTCTGTATACTTTTTATACTGTAATTTTGTTAGTATGGATGTGGTTTTTAGTGGTAAGCGCTTTTTTGCTACTAATTTCTTTTCATGGTGGGCTAGGCTATACTCTCTTCTGTAGAATAGTTTTAATTTTTTATCACTAAGGTAGATAAGTTCTCTGAGGTACTACTTGGTTACTACTATACCTCTACTTGGGCATTAAGCTATCTAAGCTTTTATTACTTTGGCGTCAGGTTATTTACTGTTTATGTAAAAGGATTATAGGATTATACTATTTTACTTGTACAAGGTTTGTATTTAATAAATTGGTTTTTATTAAATTTATTTAGTGAAGTACTATACTAATGTTTAATATTATATCTTTTAGCTCTTTTTGTTTCTGAATATCTTTTGTTTCTATGTAGTCCCTTTATATATTATATAAGTATAATATATTTCTATTATGTGCCTTTGGTATTGTTTTATATAAAGGTGTATGAGTATAATATATGTGTGAGTGCCTATTATTCAATGTTGATTGTGAAGAGGCAACAATAATATTATTGTTTTTTAATATTATTCGATGCCATGTCTAGACTCCTAGAGTCTCATAAGATACCTTTGGACATATAAGAATTGTCAGATCGCTATTACATCATTGATATGAATTGGTTTTAGGTAACCATTGTATGTTGGACACTTATTGTTTGATTAGTAATCCCACTCTTCTCTTGTATTATTCTTTTTGTTAGATACCATCACAGGGTTTTTAATTATTAATTCTTCCTGCCACTTTTTATAAGTGTTTTAGATATTTGTATTATTCTTTTGAGTGTTTATGGAATACTCTTGTTGGGTGTTATCAAAGGTTTTTTTTTTGTTTGTTTCTTTTCTTGGTTGGGTGCATCGTGTTTCTTCTTTTCTTAGGATGATTCTTCATGAGCTTATTTTAGTTTTTGATAAATTAGTTTTGTTGTTAGGCGCATTGCTCTTCTCAATGTTTCTTGTGTATTCAGTTACTCATATCTGAGTTCCAAATTAATGGTTCAGATTTGAGCGTTCTTTGAGTATATTTTAGATTAAATATCTCTTATTTCTTTTTTATCACTTTGGTTTATAAGTGTTAGGTGTTGTTTATCTTTTGTTCTTTATAGTAGAAAGGGTAAACTACTATTTCTATGTTGTGAAGAATTTCTAACATTCACTCATTGTATTGGACACATATCCAACTTAGCATTAGAAGTTGCTAGGCTAGAATATGTTGGGTATTTTAATTATTTCCTTTATAGTTGTAAGGACATTAGAGCTATCTAGAGGCTATGTTATTAAGGGTGAGCGTGTCAAACATGTTAACACATTAACACATTAACACGTCTAAGGGTTAAAAAGTCAAAAGCTATTGTTTAAATACATTCAAGAAGACTATGCTATAAAGATTTGTAAGCTAAATTACTAAGCTATAACTAATATATGACTAATATATGATTAATAAGCTGATTAATAATATTGATTTGTAAAAGGTATTTATGAGCGAAAGCTGATAATATGAGATTAATAATGTTTTGATAAATTTGATAATCGGGTTGCCAATTATGGTAATTATGAGGATTTCCAAGATTTGCCGATTTAGGTAATCGCAGAGTTACTGAGTGTGACGAGCATTATGTGTAACGGGCGTGATCGGAATCGGTGCCGGTCCTGATGCCGTGTACACCGGAGGCTGTGCTATGGCCCTATTCAATTTTAAGGCCTAGGAATGTAAGAGACCCGGGTACTATTTGCCGCAAATCACGGTATATTGTATATGTTATTTGTAATAACTAATTTACGGGTTGTTACAAAAATATAGTTATTTATTCTTAATAAAAGATGTCGAGAAGGCAATTTTATCTGTATACTCTCCAAATCTAACTCATGTCAGATTTGTATTACTCGCACAAAATAAGTAAATTTCTTCTTATTCAGGACCATTTTAATTATTTGGATACTCATCCCGGAATTATGCGGGTGACCGACCGGATCGGGTGATCTAAGCGCGAATGATTATTGGTCGATTCGATAGGATGTGATCTGGTATATTACAGTATTAAAACTATTTTTGTATTACATTTATTACTGTATTACATTTTTATTTGTACGTACGTATAATGTATAACATTCCAAATTGACATAAGACTATTTTAACGTCCTAACCAAAAGTTCCATCTTTGACTTAACTTATACAAATATAGAAATACCAATAAAATTTTACTTCGTTAAAGTCTTAAGATGTTTATAATACAGTATTCGGATTTAGTAAATGTGTGGTTTTCTTAAAGTGATAGAAATTTTCAATACATTTATATCTTTTAATTGCTTGAATACTCGACCTATAAAGATTTGATAACACCTAAATGTTCGAACTGATAATCCATCTAACCTTTTTTCAATTATTTACTAGCGAATATGCTTTGAAAGTGTCATATTTAATCAAAGATATCTAAAGTTATATTAGTTATCATGATTTATCATCTCCATCGCTATAAACAAATGTTATACTAATTATGGCAGAATAATCCTTCGGATAAATTTTTATCAGGTGTCCCAGGATTTATGATAATGGCTGTTATGTAATAGCTGTAATAGCTGTAACTACAGAACTAAATTCTAATGATCACACGTAATCGCACCTTGCTTTAGTCGTTTCCCGAATCAGTATGATATGTCGATGGGGCAAATTACGCAAGTAAAAATGGTATGGCAGGGGTAGTTTGGGTGCAATCATGATCTGTGCAATCTAGCTCAATCCAATCACAAGAAGGCGGATCTCCTAGTGTACATAATTCCTCTTATAAAAAAAAAAAAAAAAGTTTTATCAATTTGATAACGACACTATCCAACTTTAGCCAGCCATCTCTTAAAATAATTACAAAGTAAATTATGTGGTATTATAAAATTTCAATTTTATTTTTTAGTACTCGATTATTGAGTTCTATATTTTATATAATTTTATATTACAGATTTTTAAAGTATCTAATGTTTGGAATTGAGGCTCATCAAGAGACCACAATAAGTATTAAAATATTTAGTATTATTTGTTATTTATAATAAAATTCATTTAGAATTAGAAAAGCAAATTCATTCATTTAATTTTGTACATTATTGATTATTGACATGAAAATAATATTGTACAGTTATTGAATTTTCGCACCGAACGTTCACTAAATTTTAACAATGCCATTCAATCGACATTGACATTTTGTTCAAACTTATTAATTACAAAAGAATTGTGATTACGTCAGGGCAAAGTGTATCCTAAAAAAAAAGATAGAAAAATACTATATTAAAAATATTATAAAGTTGTAGGAGTTTAAATAAAATTCGAGAATTCTCGTATCAATTGATATCTATATTGGCTAACTTACATCAAGTTTACTTCAGCAAGGAGATAATTGTGGTCTTTTCGGACATGGTAAGAAATCGGTTATCTAAGATGGTTTGGCAAGCTACATCCCAATCGTAATTACTACCGTTATTACTATTTCCTGTGTTCGCCGTTGCAAAAGCCTCTCTTATAGCGAATGCAACTACATATGCTCTGTTTGATACATTTTCAGATAAATTGCGTTGTAGTGATCGAGATGTTGAGTTTCGAAATTGTGTTAACTAATATTCGCAATAAAGAAGAAAGCAATTTTAGTAAAATTATTTTATAATGCGTAAATTCTTGTTTTTGATAAGAGATACATACAGACATATTGTTTTGATTTATTATTTAAATTCGTCTAAGATAATTTTTTTTTTTTTTTCAGGTAGAAAAAAAGATTAATTTTTATGAATTCGATGAATGTCTTTTTATAAATACAATGTTGATTAAATAAAGGCATTGATACATTGTAATCATATGATGAAGTTCTAGACCACATAGGTCCCTACATCCTTGTTTTGTTTATTTTGTTTATTTTAATTATTTTTGCTAGTGATAATGTGACTCAACATTCACGCTACACGAACTCGCATGCATATGATTTAAATGATGAATGATATATGCATTAACGTTAAATCATCCATTAATATGCATCTTTTTGAAGCTTTCAAAATTGTGACATATTTGTGTTTTGTAATTGGTGATCTTTCAAGAAATTATCCTTCATTCCTAACGGTGATATGTATATGCATACATAAGTACGTACGTACGTACGTACAAACGTACGTACATACTATATATTAAAATTATCCGTTCGGTGATAATCTTTATATTTATCACAAAGGTAAAATTTTGTTACGTATGAAGCTGGCAGTTACGTATTTAGAACTAAACTTGTCATATTGATAATGATCTTCTCGATCATCCCACATGTCTAAGATCTACTTTTTTCAGAATACTCTAGATTCTTTGAACATTTATAATATTAACGATAGCCAAAATTCGAATGAGCTCAGGTCAGGTGTGATACTTTACTAAGCTTAAGCTTAAATTAATTAGTTCCAAAAAAAAAAAAAAAAATTTAAAAAAAGAAGAGCAGCGTTTGAATGCTAAACGCAAATATTGTTACATCTTAGACAGTTCGCACGATAGCAAACTTCTCCGTATCACTCATAACGGATTAACCAACAAATCATTACTGCTGTGGTCTAGACCAGTCCAGAGGATCCCCAGCCATAAGATTGAACAAAGAAAAGGATCTAGACTTTACTACATACTGTAGGATTCATATAAGAAATGTGCCTGGACTCTTTCTATGGCTAAAATATGCAAAACATGATTTTTTTTATATAAATATATCCTTACTTTAATTTCCTAATCAGATTTGGAGATTATATCTTCATATCAAATCTGTATAGATTTATAAATATTTATAAAGTTACATCGGGCATTTTGCGGTCTAGATTGCCCCATATTTCTAATTTTGTGCTATATAAAAAAAAAAGCAAATGCATGTGATTTTTAAAGACGTCTAAAACATGTCAAACTATGCACAAATACGTACTATAGCTTGTACTTAGTTATATACATATTTTAATTAAAACAATATAGATATACCTTAAATGTTTTTCTGAATGCAAGTCACATGTACATGCGTATGTACCCCCTTTCAGTAACACCCAAATTCAGCTGTCAATTATTACATTCACACAATAAGATCGCAATGATGATCTTAAGTCGTTATTGTTGTTATTATAATTAACTGCGGTACAACGGTTTAACGAACTATTATATTTAATAAGTTACAATAAGGTAATAATAGGCCAAGTGTACCAGGAATTAAGTCAAATTCAATTGGAGCTATAGAATATACGCCAGTTCATGTGACAGATTATAAAACTTAAACAATACTGCTTTGAACGTTGCAATTACGATTGTTTCAAATGCATATTGTGGCTGAATGTTAAATAAGTTAATGGCTAGATCAAAAAAAAAAAGGTTAAAGTGACAGAAGATAATTTCTATCATTATACGTACGTATCGTTATTTTGTTATTCTAAATACTGAATTAGAAAATGATAAACTTATTTTATATATATAATAATATATTTATTGTCCGGAGCGGAGTGGAGGACTTTACAATCACGGCTACCCCTGTATTAAGATTTAGATCGGAATGAAAATCCAGATTTATGGCACCACCGAAAATGATATAGGTATATCCCGAAAGTATGTCAGAACATGATGAAATAATAATACTGTAACAAAAGCTAATAAAAGTTATATCAATTAAACGAATTACGGTATAACCTCGATATAACGAAGCTCTGAAGCTGAAGGTTTTGCTTCGTTATATCTATATTTCAATATATCAGGGTCTCTTGATATAACGAATTTATTTATTATAAATAAAAAAATTTTTTTCTTTGTTATACAGTATATCAAGGTTTTATAAGTAAAATTCACTATATTGAGGTATTTTTTAATAAAAAATTTTAGCTAAAAAAAATCTTTGCTTTTTCTTAAACTGTTTTTTAGGCAAATTTTCCTGGAATTTTGAAAAGTATTTACAATTTTTTTAAATAAAATTAAAAATTATTAATAATATGAGGTATATTTTATATATACAATATTTTATTTGAAATATGTTCTATAAGTTTAATTATGAAATTTTTTTAATTTTACTAGAAATCTTTAGAGTAATACAAATTCTCTTACTTTAAAAATTTTTACTATAAAATTTTTCTTTAAATTTTCTAAATTTTTATATGTTTTTGTCTTTAAAAAAATTTTT